ATCCAACAGTAACGTAACACCGTTAGCTAGAGATCGCAAACATGGCGTGTGACAGCATGTTTATTTGTATGTGGGGGTGTGGATGACATGCAAAAACGCGTGCCATGCTGCCATCTTCATCTGGTGCAAAAAGTACCGTACACGGCTCAGCGAGGACCTGGCTACCACGTACGTAGAGCCGCAAGCTCCACAATATGTCCGTGGTGGGGCCGCCTGCGAAAGGTAATTCATGTTCCTGGTCCTGTGGTCTAGTGGTTAGGACACATGACTCTGAATCATGTAACCCGAGTTCAAGTTTCGGCAGGACCTGTAGCGGATCCTTTACACCCCAAACTACCCAGTCGGCTAGCAATAGAATAATAAAATTAATAATAATACGCCGGACCGGAGGCCGAGGCGTGAGTGAAGGGATCAGAGGAGGTGGGGTGACGGGTTTCCCCGGTCCCAGTCCTCCCCAGCCACCACGGCTAGCACTGGAATAAAGCCGCACGGTTGCAGGTACGACCATGGCTGCGTGTTTTACTTGTTTATGCAAGCGTGCGCCTGCATCGGTTCAGCAGGTGTGACATCGGTTGTGACTTGCATGATCCAACAGTATCATAACACCGTTAGCTAGAGATCGCAAACATGGCGTGTGACAGCATGTTTATTTGTATGTGGGGGTGTGGATGACATGCAAAAACGCGTGCCATGCTGCCATCTTCATCTGGTGCAAAAAGTACCGTACACGGCTCAGCGAGGACCTGGCTACCACGTACGTAGAGCCGCAAGCTCCACAATATGTCCGTGGTGGGGCCGCCTGCGAAAGGTCTAGTGGTTAGGACACATGACTCTGAATCATGTAACCCGAGTTCAAGTCTCGGCAGGACCTGTAGCGGATCCTTTACACCCCAAACTACCCAGTCGGCTAGCAATAGAATAATAAAATTAATAATAATACGCCGGACCGGAGGCCGAGGCGTGAGTGAAGGGATCAGAGGAGGTGGGGTGACGGGTTTCCCCGGTCCCAGTCCTCCCCAGCCACCACGGCTAGCACTGGAATAAAGCCGCACGGTTGCAGGTACGACCATGGCTGCGTGTTTTACTTGTTTATGCAAGCGTGCGCCTGCATCGGTTCAGCAGGTGTGACATCGGTTGTGACTTGCATGATCCAACAGTAACATAACACCGTTAGCTAGAGATCGCAAACATGGCGTGTGACAGCATGTTTATTTGTATGTGGGGGTGTGGATGACATGCAAAAACGCGTGCCATGCTGCCATCTTCATCTGGTGCAAAAAGTACCGTACACGGCTCAGCGAGGACCTGGCTACCACGTACGTAGAGCCGCAAGCTCCACAATATGTCCGTGGTGGGGCCGCCTGCGAAAGGTAATTCATGTTCCTGGTCCTGTGGTCTAGTGGTTAGGACACATGACTCTGAATCATGTAACCCGAGTTCAAGTCTCGGCAGGACCTGTAGCGGATCCTTTACACCCCAAACTACCCAGTCGGCTAGCAATAGAATAACAAAATTAATAATAATACGCCGGACCGGAGGCCGAGGCGTGAGTGAAGGGATCAGAGGAGGTGGGGTGACGGGTTTCCCCGGTCCCAGTCCTCCCCAGCCACCACGGCTAGCACTGGAATAAAGCCGCACGGTTGCAGGTACGACCATGGCTGCGTGTTTTACTTGTTTATGCAAGCGTGCGCCTGCATCGGTTCAGCAGGTGTGACATCGGTTGTGACTTGCATGATCCAACAGTATCATAACACCGTTAGCTAGAGATCGCAAACATGGCGTGTGACAGCATGTTTATTTGTATGTGGGGGTGTGGATGACATGCAAAAACGCGTGCCATGCTGCCATCTTCATCTGGTGCAAAAAGTACCGTACACGGCTCAGCGAGGACCTGGCTACCAAGTACGTAGAGCCGCAAGCTCCACAATATGTCCGTGGTGGGGCCCCCTGCGAAGAGTAATTCATTGTTCCTGGTCCTGTGGTCTAGTGGTTAGGACACATGACATTATGTAACCCGAGTTCAAGTCTCGGCAGGACCTGTAGCGGATCCTTTACACCCCAAACTACCCAGTCGGCTAGCAATAGAATAATAAAATTAATAATAATACGCCGGACCGGAGGCCGAGGCGTGAGTGAAGGGATCAGAGGAGGTGGGGTGACGGGTTTCCCCGGTCCCAGTCCTCCCCAGCCACCACGGCTAGCACTGGAATAAAGCCGCACGGTTGCAGGTACGACCATGGCTGCGTGTTTTACTTGTTTATGCAAGCGTGCGCCTGCATCGGTTCAGCAGGTGTGACATCGGTTGTGACTTGCATGATCCAACAGTAACGTAACACCGTTAGCTAGAGATCGCAAACATGGCGTGTGACAGCATGTTTATTTGTATGTGGGGGTGTGGATGACATGCAAAAACGCGTGCCATGCTGCCATCTTCATCTGGTGCAAAAAGTACCGTACACGGCTCAGCGAGGACCTGGCTACCACGTACGTAGAGCCGCAAGCTCCACAATATGTCCGTGGTGGGGCCGCCTGCGAAGGGTAATTCATGTTCCTGGTCCTGTGGTCTAGTGGTTAGGACACATGACTCTGAATCATGTAACCCGAGTTCAAGTCTCGGCAGGACCTGTAGCGGATCCTTTACACCCCAAACTACCCAGTCGGCTAGCAATAGAATAATAAAATTAATAATAATACGCCGGACCGGAGGCCGAGGCGTGAGTGAAGGGATCAGAGGAGGTGGGGTGACGGGTTTCCCCGGTCCCAGTCCTCCCCAGCCACCACGGCTAGCACTGGAATAAAGCCGCACGGTTGCAGGTACGACCATGGCTGCGTGTTTTACTTGTTTATGCAAGCGTGCGCCTGCATCGGTTCAGCAGGTGTGACATCGGTTGTGACTTGCATGATCCAACAGTAACATAACACCGTTAGCTAGAGATCGCAAACATGGCGTGTGACAGCATGTTTATTTGTATGTGGGGGTGTGGATGACATGCAAAAACGCGTGCCATGCTGCCATCTTCATCTGGTGCAAAAAGTACCGTACACGGCTCAGCGAGGACCTGGCTACCACGTACGTAGAGCCGCAAGCTCCACAATATGTCCGTGGTGGGGCCGCCTGCGAAAGGTAATTCATGTTCCTGGTCCTGTGGTCTACAGGAGGGGGCGCCTATTATGGGACACCCCCTATCATGGGACACATGAGTTTTCTTCACAACCGCACATTCATTGGCCACGAAACTCCGGAATCGTAAACTAGACATATAAACTTATATTTTCGCCAGCTGACATGTGTCTTGAAACGTATAATGTGACACGCGATTTTGGTTGTGGTCTCAGAACCATGAGCGGCAACTGTCGTCGGTAAATCTTGCAGACCAGTGAGCACCAGCCGTCTGAAAACAATTAAATATATATTATAGACATGCTTTCACCAGACAAGGGGTTGGTGTCGGCTTCCTTGAAGCCGGAAAAAGGGCGGGGCCCCACTAAATCCGTACGGGTTAAGTTGAGTGCTAGGGCGGCGAGGGCGTGAAGTGTGAGAGTGTCGACATTCCTGCTGATAGACAGCCAGAGCTTTTTTCCCGAAATGCCTGCTAGCCGAGTCGTTAGCAAGGCCTGCCGGCGCCGTGCGAAGCGCGTCATCCTGGCGGGTGCATGAGCGCATGTGCGCATCGACCGAAATACGGCATTTCCAAAGCGAGCGGCGAGGGCGTCAACTGTGAGAGTGTCGACATTCCTGCTGATAGGCAGCCAGAGCTTTATATCTGAAATGCCTGCGGCTTCAGCAATCCGACCCATGTTTAGCATCGTGCGCCGTCTCGGCACTGTGCAACTCTTCCGGCCAGCGCCTTGGCTGAAGTTACTTGACAGTAGACATGGAGTGTATCATTTACACATCACGCAGGCTGACTTGACAATAGGACAGCGGAACTGTTTGCGAGGGTTGATTGCGACGACGTGCAGTTGCCGACGAGAGTGCACAGGCTTCACTACTGAGGTATTCGCCGTAGTGGAGGCTTGAATGCTTTAACATTAGGACAGGGATTCCCTAGGTTGCCGACTGGACTTGTTGGGCGGCCCGCAGAAGACTGCCGCATCGTGTGTGCAATTTGCGTCTTGGCGTCCAACAACCAGCAGTTTGCCCCTCATGGTTTGTCCCATGCAATCTTTGTAATATAAGTGTGCGTCAAGTCGGTCGGACCGGCAAGCAGAGCTGCTGTGGTGTGTTCACGGGAAGATTGTTCGCAATGCAAACATATTTGGTCGCCGAAACGAAGATTCATTTCACGCCGTCATGTCAGAATTCCAGTTCGAGAAACGATGGATCTTCTGGAATTAATTATAGGCCGAGAGGCGTTGGTTTGACCTCGGCCTCGGTCCATGGAGACTGCCAAACTGGTTTTTACTCATACGAGGTTGGGTTCCTATAATAAATTTACCATGCAATAAAGAACGTAATATTTTACTTATGGAGTCTTTCCGTTGGCCGAAATTCTGCACTTATGCTTTTACATTAGACATCAGACAGTGCGGGCACGGACATGGGCAATCCTACAGGGCGGGGCCCCCCTGGGCGCTTCGTGCTGGGGCCCCGCCCAAAAACACTGATTCGCTGCTGAGTGGTGAGGATGACCCTGGGACTAGCAGGATGCATGGCCACCTACCGAACTCGACACCAAAGTTTCACACGCCAGACGCTCTCGAGGCTTTCTGATGACTATTATGAGTATGATAAAGCAATATGGGGCGCCAGTGTGCGTGTATACGGTCCTTATGAGTCATTTTCACGCTGTCCCATAATAGGTGGTGATTTCGAAAAAGGGGATTTATGGACCCAATCACGGAAGTGCCCGTGTACTTGATGTTCCTGTCAGAGTTTCAGACCGCGCTTCAAGGGCCTCACAGAGGACATATACGGCCATGTACAACCCGCGGCTGAGGGCCAGTAAGAGGCATTTGCCCAATCTGTCGGGCATGTAAAGGTGAAGTGTCCCATCATAGGTGCCCCCACTAGAGTGGTTAGGACACATGACTCTGAATCATGTAACCCGAGTTCAAGTCTCGGCAGGACCTGTAGCGGATCCTTTTCACCCCAAACTACCCAGTCGGCTAGCAATAGAATAATAAAATTAATAATAATACGCCGGACCGGAGGCCGAGGCGTGAGTGAAGGGATCAGAGGAGGTGGGGTGACGGGTTTCCCCGGTCCCAGTCCTCCCCAGCCACCACGGCTAGCACTGGAATAAAGCCGCACGGTTGCAGGTACGACCATGGCTGCGTGTTTTACTTGTTTATGCAAGCGTGCGCCTGCATCGGTTCAGCAGGTGTGACATCGGTTGTGACTTGCATGATCCAACAGTATCATAACACCGTTAGCTAGAGATCGCAAACATGGCGTGTGACAGCATGTTTATTTGTATATGGGGGTGTGGATGACATGCAAAAACGCGTGCCATGCTGCCATCTTCATCTGGTGCAAAAAGTACCGTACACGGCTCAGCGAGGACCTGGCTACCACGTACGTAGAGCCGCAAGCTCCACAATATGTCCATGGTGTGGCCGCCTGCGATGGTCCTGTGGTCTAGAGGTTAGGACACATGACTCTGAATCATGTAACCCGAGTTCAAGTCTCGGCAGGACCTGTAGCGGATCCTTTTCACCCCAAACTACCCAGTCGGCTAGCAATAGAATAATAAAATTAATAATAATACGCCGGACCGGAGGCCGAGGTGTGAGTGAAGGGATCAGAGGAGGTGGGGTGACGGGTTTCCCCGGTCCCAGTCCTCCCCAGCCACCACGGCTAGCACTGGAATAAAGCCGCACGGTTGCAGGTACGACCATGGCTGCGTGTTTTACTTGTTTATGCAAGCGTGCGCCTGCATCGGTTCAGCAGGTGTGACATCGGTTGTGACTTGCATGATCCAACAGTAACATAACACCGTTAGCTAGAGATCGCAAACATGGCGTGTGCCAGCATGTTTATTTGTATGTGGGGGTGTGGATGACATGCAAAAACGCGTGCCATGCTGCCATCTTCATCTGGTGCAAAAAGTACCGTACACGGCTCAGCGAGGACCTGGCTACCACGTACGTAGAGCCGCAAGCTCCACAATATGTCCGTGGTGTGGCCGCCTGCGATGGTCCTGTGGTCTAGTGGTTAGGACACATGACTCTGAATAATTTAACCCGAGTTCAAGTCTCGGCAGGACCTGTAGCGGATCCTTTACACCCCAAACTACCCAGTCGGCTAGCAATAGAATAACAAAATTAATAATAATACGCCGGACCGGAGGCCGAGGCGTGAGTGAAGGGATCAGAGGAGGTGGGGTGACGGGTTTCCCCGGTCCCAGTCCTCCCCAGCCACCACGGCTAGCACTGGAATAAAGCCGCACGGTTGCAGGTACGACCATGGCTGCGTGTTTTACTTGTTTATGCAAGCGTGCGCCTGCATCGGTTCAGCAGGTGTGACATCGGTTGTGACTTGCATGATCCAACAGTAACGTAACACCGTTAGCTAGAGATCGCAAACATGGCGTGTGACAGCATGTTTATTTGTATGTGGGGGTGTGGATGACATGCAAAAACGCGTGCCATGCTGCCATCTTCATCTGGTGCAAAAAGTACCGTACACGGCTCAGCGAGGACCTGGCTACCACGTACGTAGAGCCGCAAGCTCCACAATATGTCCGTGGTGGGGCCGCCTGTGAAAGGTAATTCATTTTCCTGGTCCTGTGGTCTAGTGGTTAGGACACATGACTCTGAATCATGTAACCCGAGTTCAAGTCTCGGCAGGACCTGTAGCGGATCGTTTACACCCCAAACTACCCAGTCGGCTGGCAATAGAATAATAAAATTAATAATAATACGCCGGACCGGAGGCCGAGGCGTGAGTGAAGGGATCAGAGGAGGTGGGGTGACGGGTTTCCCCGGTCCCAGTCCTCCCCAGCCACCACGGCTAGCACTGGAATAAAGCCGCACGGTTGCAGGTACGACCATGGCTGCGTATTTTACTTGTTTATGCAAGCGTGCGCCTGCATCGGTTCAGCAGGTGTGACATCGGTTGTGACTTGCATGATCCAACAGTAACGTAACACCGTTAGCTAGAGATCGCAAACATGGCGTGTGACAGCATGTTTATTTGTATGTGGGGGTGTGGATGACATGCAAAAACGCGTGCCATGCTGCCATCTTCATCTGGTGCAAAAAGTACCGTACACGGCTCAGCGAGGACCTGGCTACCACGTACGTAGAGCCGCAAGCTCCACAATATGTCCGTGGTGGGGCCGCCTGCGAAAGGTAATTCATGTTCCTGGTCCTGTGGTCTAGGGGGCCCGGATGGCTTGCTGTGGGCTGGAAGCCTTCGGACTTCCTGGAAGGCGATCAGAGGGCCCGGAAGGCCGTTTGAGAGCCCCAGAATGCCTTTGGAGGGTCCGGAAGGCCCTCAGAAGGCCTGGAAGGCCTCGGGGGGCCCGGATGGCTTGCTGTGGGCTGGAAGCCTTTGGACTTCCTGGAAGGCAATCAGAGGGCCCGGAAGGCCGTTTGAGAGCCCCAGAACGCCTTTTTTTTTAATTCCGGAGGAACCCGGACTCGGAACATGGGACACGTGTTGTCTGGCGGCTCCACTGATGCTGCCACTTCTGTTGAGTAGCTAGCGTGCCAGGCTTCTGGGCGTCTCCAAGGGCCAGCTGGATGGTGCTGATGACGGATTGATTTGTCTTGTAAACTTCCGGACAGGACAGGGACAGGGGTGGGCACCCTCCTTTCTCATCACGCCCCGGGTAATGGTCACTGGCTGGTTTCGATCCCGGGATCCCGGGGGGAATTGCACGGTTTTGGAGGGTCCGGCCTTTGGAGGGTCCGGAAGGCCCTCAGAAGGCCCGGAAGGCCCTCGGGGGGCCCGGATGGCTTGCTGTGGGCTGGAAGCCTTCGGACTCCCTGGAAGGCGATCAGAGGGCCCGGAAGGCCGTTTGAGAGCCCCAGAACGCTTTTGCAGGATCCGGAAGGCCCTCAGACGGCCCGGAAGGCCCTCGGGGGGCCCGGATGGCTTGCTGTGGGCTGGAAGCCTTTGGACTTCCTGGAAGGCGATCAGAGGGCCCGGAAGGCCGTTTGAGAGCCCCAGAATGCCTTTGGAGGGTCCGGAAGGCCCTCAGAAGGCCTGGAAGGCCTCGGGGGGCCCGGATGGCTTGCTGTGGGCTGGAAGCCTTTGGACTTCCTGGAAGGCAATCAGAGGGCCCGGAAGGCCGTTTGAGAGCCCCAGAACGCCTTTTTTTTAATTCCGGAGGAACCCGGACTCGGAACATGGGACACGTGTTGTCTGGCGGCTCCACTGATGCTGCCACTTCTGTTGAGTAGCTAGCGTGCCAGGCTTCTGGGCGTCTCCAAGGGCCAGCTGGATGGTGCTGATGACTGTATGATTTGTCTTGTAAACCTCCGGACAGGACAGGGACAGGGGTGGGCACCCTCCTTTCTCATCACGCCCCGGGTAATGGTCACTGGCTGGTTTCGATCCCGGGATCCCGGGGGGAATTGCACGGTTTTGGAGGGTCAGGCCTTTGGAGGGTCCGGAAGGCCCTCAGAAGGCCCGGAAGGCCCTCGGGGGGCCCGGATGGCTTGCTGTGGGCTGGAAGCCTTCGGACTTCCTGGAAGGCGATCAGAGGGCCCGGAAGGCCGTTTGAGAGCCCCAGAACGCCTTTGGAGGGTCCGGAAGGCCCTCAGAAGGCCTGGAAGGCCTCGGGGGGCCCGGATGGCTTGCTGTGGGCTGGAGCCTTTGGACTTCCTGGAAGGTGATCAGAAGGCCCGGAAGGCTGTTTGAGAACCCCAGAACGCCTTTGTAGGGTCCGGAAGGCCCTCAGAAGGCCCGGAAGGCTCTCGGGGGGCCCGGATGGCTTGCTGTGGGCTGGAAGCCTTCGGACTTCCTGGAAGGCGATCAGAGGGCCCAGAAGGCCGTTTGAGAGCCCCAGAACGCTTTTGCAGGATCCGGAAGGCCCTCAGACGGCCCGGAAGGCCCTCGGGGGGCCCGGATGGCTTGCTGTGGGCTGGAAGCCTTTGGACTTCCTGGAAGGCGATCAGAGGGCTCGGAAGGCCGTTTGAGAGCCCCAGAATGCCTTTGGAGGGTCCGGAAGGCCCTCAGAAGGCCTGGAAGGCCTCGGGGGGCCCGGATGGCTTGCTGTGGGCTGGAAGCCTTTGGACTTCCTGGAAGGTAATCAGAGGGCCCGGAAGGCCGTTTGAGAGCCCCAGAACGCCTTTTTTTTAATTCCGGAGGAACCCGGACTCGGAACATGGGACACATGTTGTCTGGCGGCTCCACTGATGCTGCCACTTCTGTTGAGTAGCTAGCGTGCCAGGCTTCTGGGCGTCTCCAAGGGCCAGCTGGATGGTGCTGATGACTGTATGATTTGTCTTGTAAACCTCCGGACAGGACAGGGACAGGGGTGGGCACCCTCCTTTCTCATCACGCCCCGGGTAATGGTCACTGGCTGGTTTCGATCCCGGGATCCCGGGGGGAATTGCACGGTTTTGGAGGGTCCGGCCTTTGGAGGGTCCGGAAGGCCCTCAGAAGGCCCGGAAGGCCCTCGGGGGGCCCGGATGGCTTGTTATGGGCTGGAAGCCTTCGGACTTCCTGGAAGGCGATCAGAGGGCCCGAAAGGCCGTTTGAGAGCCCCAGAACGCCTTTGGAGGGTCCGGAAGGCCCTCAGAAGGCCCGGGGGGGCCCGGATGGCTTGCTGTGGGCTGGAAGACTTTGGACTTCCTGGAAGGCGATCAGAGGGCTCGGAAGGCCGTTTGAGAGCCCCAGAATGCCTTTGGAGGGTCCGGAAGGCCCTCAGAAGGCCCGGAAGGCCTCGGGGGGCCCGGATGGCTTGCTGTGGGCTGGAAGCCTTCGGACTTCCTGGAAGGCAATCAGAGGGCCCGGAAGGCCGTTTGAGAGCCCCAGAACGCCTTTTTTTTAATTCCGGAGGAACCCGGACTCAGGACATGGGACACATGTTGTCTGGCGGCTCCACTGATGCTGCCACTTCTGTTGAGTAGCTAGTGTGCCAGGCTTCTGGGCGTCTCCAAGGGCCAGCTGGATGGTG